GGGAGCCGAGTGGGCACTGCTTTCTCTTTATCTCACTTATGTTCTTTCTTGTTGCTTCTGCAGGGTGAGATTTTCATAAAACACTGCACTCACTTCCTGACCATTAATTAGGGGGCCCTGTGCTCCCTGATTGGCTCCAAGAGCAATGAGGTCGAGCTTCCTACCTGTACACTGAAGATGGAAGCTGTGTCCTCCAGACGCGCAGACACACTCAGTGAGAGACTGGGATCTTGGTCTGAAGGTTCATCTCTGGGAGGAGGCTCTGGAGCTGCTTCCTGACTGGGGCAGGGTCGTCCAGTGACATCACAGGCCAGCTCCTATTGTCTCCATATCCCTGGGGGCTCAAAATCCAAGGTCCTCATTAAACTAGCTATTTTACTGTCATTCTAATCCCAGGAGTGCATGTCCCCAGAGACCAGGACTTTGGAGGTGGGGATTTCAGGACGACAACTGATTTCCTGACCCCAAGGCCAGGTGTTTTCTTGTTTCTGTGCTCCTCACACACACCTCTTCTATGATACAGTCCTGTGTTCCTTGTGAGTTACAAACTAAGTCACATCTATCTATCACATTTTATCTCAAAATCTGTTGCCCTTTTTAGGTGTGACAATGTCTTACAGATTCAGGTATAAATAGTGTCATTTTAAATGTTATCTAAATATTTAAAAATACAGCAACTCAGCACGTCTTTTCTTAACTACAGTTGGTGTTGACTGAACCTTAATTTTTAATACTTTATATTTAGCACAGAGGATTATAATCTGTTTTCTATGATCACAGCTAATGGTCCAAAATACAGACAGACCATGACACTTTGTTCAGAATTTAACATTTTCACGGTGGTTTCAACAGTCTTTTTCACAGAAAGAGACTGTGAGTTGAAATTATGATTCTTCATTTTTTATTTATTTTTTTTTTAAATTTTTTTTTTATTGGTTGTTCACAACATTACAAAGCTCTTGACATATCATATTTCATACATTAGATTGAAGTGGGTTATGAA